CCTCCTGAGGTGGCTCAGTGTCTGTAGGGAAAAGGAAGAGTGAGTGGGAGGGGGAGAAGCGATGGGGGAGGGGCAGAAGAGGGAGGGGGGAGGGGAGAGGGAGGGGGAGAGAGAATGAATGAGAAGGAGGTGAGTACACTGGACCAATGGCAGGGCTGGTGAACACACTACCACATGCCCAGGGGCCCTCTCTCCAATGCAGAAGGCAAGGAACTGAGCCTCTCCATTCCTCCCCACCCCTCGTCAGTCAAGGCCCTGCCCCAGCCTTCTCTCCCTGTCTGCCAGGCTCAGGGAGTGTCAGGCATCAGTCCCCGGTCCCCTCAGCTTCAGCGTCCTCATCTTCAGAATGGAGAGGGCCACCCTGCCCCCACTCCAGGGCCGTAGTGGGGAGCACGCGAGATGACACTGAGCAGCACTGAAGCATTCTGGGAGAAATCAGGCCTGTGAGGAGCAGGCAGGAGGCACTGGTGGCAGAAGTCTGGTGGCATGTCCTGCTGCCCCCCCCACCCCAAGTAAAGGAAGCTCCCCCTCTCCTCCTGGGGTCTCCCTCCGACTGCAGAAAGAGAGAGAGAAGCCTGGGGCTCGCAGGGCCTCTAGTCACCCAGGAGGGGCCCAGGTGGAAAACCAGGCAGAGAACAGGAAGCCCCCTCACTCTGCCTAGGGGCACACCACTCACCTCGGTGTGCGCGTACGTGGGTCTGGAAACAGTTGTAATACTTGTACTTCTTGCCACAGATTCCACACTCATAGGACCCTGGAAACAGGCAAGAAAGGGACCGCTCAGCCAGCACCCAATACAGGCAGCCATGAGGCCCCGGTGCCTGCGGGGATGCCTCCGGGGACTGCTAGCTCTGCTCAAGGGGCAGGGCTCGTCCATTGGCCGTCTTGTCCCCAGTAAGCAAAGAGGCAGCAGGGCCCAGCAGAGACATCCTGAGGCCATGGAAGGGAGAAGTGGTGATCACCAGGGCAGAGGTCTCCTGAGGACGAGAAGGTGGGGAGCAACCCTCAGCTCCACCATGTGCACCCAGCCAGCCCTAGAGAAGCTCAGACACATCTCGGGACACACAAAATGCAGCAGGCAGAACTCCAAAGAGGGGAAGGAGAAAAGGAAAACACGAGTGGGGGCAGAGAGGATGGCCCCTCACAACGGGCAGGCCTGTAGTTAGCTCAGAGCATCACGCGGCCGCTGCTTACAGATCAAATGCTGAGGAGGAGCCAGCCGCTTGGTTCTAGGATGCAACAGGAGCTGGGCCCAGGGCGGGCTGGGGAAAGGGGGCCTGGAGAGGTAAGTCGTGGACGTGTGGGTTTCCAGAGGGTCCCTGGGGCTTGGCCTCAGACCAAGTGTCCTCTGAACCAGCGTCTTCCAAGTCGAGTGCAAGTCCCCTGGGAATATGGGAGCACAGGCCGTTGAAAACACTTCCAAATGTTCTTTTCCTAGAAGCAACATGACAGAGCAGTGGCAGCCGGCAGGGGGCCCCCTCCGCTGCTCTCCTTCCTCCTCTCCTCTCACCTTCACCTTCTCTCACATTACGGGCAAGACAATTCTTTTTTTAAAAATATACTTTTATTGATTTCAGAGAGGAAGGGAGAGAGAGACAGAAACACCAATGATGAGAGAGAATCAATCATTGATCGGCTGACTCATGCACGCCCCTCACTTGGGATGGAGACCTGCCCGGGAATTGAACCGTGACCTCCTGGTTCATAGATCGAAGCTCAAGCACTGAGCCACACCAGCTGGGTGACATGACAGCTCTGTCATCCACCCAATTCCACCCTGTGTGTCCTCCGTGGGCGGTTATCATCCCAGGGCTCCAAGCAAAGGTGGATCGGAAACATCGGGTATCGGACTTGGGAAGTGGGTCTAGTGACTGGGAACAATTCCTCTTGTGATTCCAGCGCTTTCTAAGTCTTAGCTCTCAACAAAATTGAAGATCTAATGGAGTTGTCAGTGGAGAGACCATTAGAAATAATGTCTGATGAGATGCCCACGTGTCATTTTGGACAGACAACTTGGAGTTAAAGAACGAAGTGACGCTGCTAATACAAACCACCACCCCTCCCTGCCTCCTGATTTATGTGATCAGGCTTTTAAGCACTCGCACTTACGAAAACCGAAGCACGGGAATTAAGTTAATGCTGAATCCTGTCTCATTCAACATATAAGAAATATTAATTCACAGAAACATGAACCAATTGAAACAGAAAGCCCATCCGTTTTATGAAAAGGTGTATTTTCGATAACATTTTCCTTGTACATTTACGATCGCTCTAAATTTGTTTTTGGCAAATTGTATGCTGATAACAACTCGATCTGGGGAAGAAAATGTTTTAAAATATAGAGCTTTATGATCCCAACATATTTTTTAGAAATTTCAATTTACATACATCTTGTTGTGGGAGATGAGTGTGAAACAGTGATCAATAAAAGACTCTCAAGCATAAAAAAATATATTACATTAGGATAAAGTCCTGTGAGGGAAGTGGACTGGAAATATGAGTTCAAGGAGAAAAAGAAAAGATGTAAAATTTCTGACTGTTAAAGATGGGCCTGTTCATAGGTTTCATAAATGGATGATGGCAGATACGAGTAGCAGTGGGGTTTGGGTTATCTTGGCTACATTTAAAAGAGTGGTTCACAGTTTTATTTCAAATGCCACATTTTTACACAATATGCCAGAAATTATACCCTTTGTGATTACGTAAATGTTGGATTAAAATGTGAGATGTCAACACAAAAATGTGAAAGAGAATATCGTTTCTCAAAACTCTTGTAGGAGATGCTGAACAAAAGAAGTGTGAAGCCAAAGGTCCTTTAGATTTTTATCATTCCAGAGTAACCCCAGATGTGTCTGAGGCTTCGGCTAATCCCACTGGTATCTGTTTTGCATTTTGTCGCCCCCCGACCCCCCGCCACTTCTTAATAAGAGATTATTTGAATTTATTTGAGCTACCTGATGACATGCCAAGAAGCAAGATCTCAAGTGCTCCCCTGTCCCCCTTAAAAACACTTTCATGCCTATTACTTCACTCTGCTCCCAGTGAACCTACCGGCAGATTCTATTATACTCACTGATCAACCAAGACAGTATGGCTCAGAGAGGTTGAGGGGTCTGTCCAAGGCCCCATAGCAGGGCACACACTGAGGCTCTTGGCTTAGAGCCTTAGGGCCTTTGCCAATGGGGACCCTCCAACTGGGATCCCCTTCCCACCTTGGACATCCCAATGAACAGTCTTCAGCAGAGACAAGATGCACCTGGGACGGTGCCAAACCCCTCCTTTCTGGGTGGCTCAGCAAAGAGCTGAGTGTTGGTTCTGGCAAGCTCCGGCGCCAAGCCCGCCAACAGCCTGTTGAAACAGGAAACTAACTATCAGCTGGCACTTGGAAGCAGGACCTGGCACCTTGGCTGCTGGGTTTGTCACAGACCAAACTCATGTGGCCTTGTCTGAATGGCTGTCTGCTCTTCTGCTGCTCCTTCCAAAGCTGAGGCCCCTTCCTCTTCTTCTTCTTCCTCCTCCTCCTCCTCCTCCTGCCCTTTTTCCCCAGGCAGCCCTGTGTATGTGTGGAAACACCTCCACTCCTTGGTGCTCACAGCTCGCTGCCTAGAAACATCCTTGCAGGAGCCATTTTCCCAGGTGATCCCTGACTCCCCCTCCTGCACCCCTACAGTGACCCTCTCTGCTGACCCACCTCCAGGGAACTCCCTCCCTCACAGGTCTATATCTGGTTATAGTTCCCATAATCACCAAGTCCTTCCTTTTACTGAGTTGAAATCACCTCCTGGTAACTACCTCAGATTGGCTGGGGCTGCTTGGGATGTGTCTGCTCCATCCCCTTTCACCAAAATACTTATAGATTCTATCATCTCCCCGGCCCACAGCCCCGCTCCCCATACAAACAGCCCTTAGCTCTGCCATGAGGCTCCTCCCTACACTGAGTTAGTTAACTCTCTGGAATAATCTGTTGGCCCACACCCCTCCGCTGAGGAAGAGCCCAGCTGGTCACTTGCTCCCTCCGTGGGCTCCTCAACCACGAGGGAAGCCCTGGACCACCCACCAGGTCTCCAGGCACCGGGGGCTCTCCCTGGGCTCCTTCACGTGGAACCTCTCTGGATGAAGGACCCACAGTCTCACAGCACAGAAAGGAGCACCCACTGCTCGGCAGACATTCTGACCACCCGATGGGACTGGGCATGCTTCTCTCCCTGAACCAGAAAAAGTTCCGTGGGCCGGAGGTCCTGATCGCTGCAAACCCAGCTCGCTTTGTCCTCACCATCTAAGTCAAGGACGGCAAGCGGTTTTCTACTTCAGATTTTTCCATTCTGGCAGAGCGGCCGTGACTTCTCGGTATCCTGTGTTAACGAGGATTCTGAGGTGCATCGTTGGGACAGTATGCAGTGATCAACTGGCGAGGCCATGGATGCGGAACTGGGGAGTAGCCGTGGTCACCCCTCGTTTATTAGCACTCCTCACAGAGGAGCTCCCGAAACCTCACGCGTGGTCCTGCCATTCCTAGGGGCTGCTGTGAAGACTTCTGCCTGTGGCTTGTCGGGAGGGAACAGGCAGTTGTCAGCTCACTTCCGGTTTTATCCAACAAAGTTGTCACAGTCAGCATTATCCCTGCTCTTCTCGCTAAATAGGGAAGCTCAAGGTCTTGCCCCTAAGCCCCATACCAATGGCAGTGACGTGCTTTCTAAGAGTGAGGGACACCCTTCTCAGCACAAGGGTGGCAGCAGGGAGGTGGCAGCCACCGCTGCAGGCTTGGCAGCCAGCCAGCCTCCTGGGCACCGACGCCCCTTCTGACTCTCCCAGCCTGAGAAGCTGCCAAATGCCACCCACGTGTCCATGACCTGGGCTCATCCATGGGAAATGCCTCGGATAATATCTGTGTCATTGGGAGCACTGTTTGTCTGATGGTTGTCGAAGGGCCAGTGAGGACATGAGGAGGGGGGGGGGTGACAAGGGGGATGGAGCTCCGAGAGAAGGCAAATGGGAGGGTCCCTCGGGGCACGGCACGGGCGACCAAACAGGACCGCTATTCTATTCATCAACAGAGCCGGGCTCTGAGCCCTGAGCATGGCACTCAGGAGGCCCTTGGCTCCCCAGAGCCCCGCTCTCCCCTGCCGACTGACTTGAGAACACACGTTAACGACGCCTGGTCTCCAAGGCGCAGAAGCACCCCAGCGCCCCCTGGCACAGGCTCATTTAAAGGGATGGCTCTACCCAGCACTCACCCCAGGCGAGACCCCGGGGAGTCCTTCCCTTCCAGAAGTGAGTGGGCGGGGGTGCTGTGAGGAGGAGCTGGGCCTCCACAAAGTGGAAGAAAATGTCAGCGACCTGCTGTGTGACTCGGGGCGGCTCTCTTTCCGAGGGCCTTCGTTTGCCCTTCTATAAAATGAAGGGAACACGGGTATCAAATCTATAGCATGTGTAGCCCCACCGCCCACGTCCACAGCCATGGCAGACATCAATAATCAATCATGCCACCCTTTAGAAGCTTCAACACAGACTCCACTGAGCCCGCGGCAATTACTTGGACTTGGCCCACAAGACAAAATTTACTTGCCATCCTGTGATTAGATGAGTTCAAAAGGCTCAATTCTAACACTGATCTCTGTGTGTGTGTGTGTGTGTGTGTGTGTGTGTGTTTGTGTATGTTGCTGTTGTTACATGCTTTTCTTTCCTGGTGCTGAGGCCAAGCCACATTCCTCTGAGCCTGACCCTTGGCAGAAACTACACCCTCAAGGAAGGTCGGACTGGATGGATGCGAGAGGAGCGGCCACGACCAGCAGGGGGCGCCCTGGGCCTGTTTGGTACGGGCTCCATTAAAACGGTGGTTCCATTTCTAACTTGTGATTGGCTTTTACACCTTTTCACAAGGGTGTGCCAAAAGCAGGTAACTCAGAGATGCTCAAAGTTCCTGAATTCTAGGGAGGCGGTACTGGAAGGAGCGCCAGGGACTGGATCAGTTAGTTTTCAGATGAGAAAACCGAGGCGCCATGAGAACCCCTGTCTTCTGATACTTCATCCACAAGGTTCTTCTCCATCCCATTTCTTTTCTCTCCGTCACACTGGCTTAGCTCTTACACTTGGGGGACAAAAGCAGAAGTATTACTACTCCTTCCCCTTGAAGAGGTACTGTTTACTATTAATACCAGTACTAACAATAGCTAACCATTTACTAAGTACAATGTTGAGCGCTTTACATAGATCATTTTTACTGAATCCTCAAACAGCCCAATGAATCTGCAATAGTGAAACCTGAGGCACAGAGAGGTCAAGTAACTTGCCCAAGGCACAACAGCCACTAAGCCACAGAGCCTGGATTCACTCCCAATCGGAGGCGACGAGTTCGTTCTCGCGGCACAACAGTGATTCCCACACCCCTCCAGCAGCCAGGACAGGGAGCATGCCTCATTTAACAGAGGAGGACACCGCGGCACAGCGAGGCCAAGGGAAACCAGCACGGTGACTGGCATGAGGCCAAGGCCCTGAGGCCTCTCACTGTGCAGGCAGCTGGCCCAGGAAGGGCTCCCCACATTTCCCTAGCATAGCTGCTCCAGGCTTTCCCTGCTGAATCCAGACTGCCAGTTCCATCCCAAGATTCAAATTCAACTACCTTTCTGGGCAGCTCCTGGTGAAGGGCATAAAGAGCTACTGGGTCCAATGAGTCTTAAAACACCGCCCCCTCCCCCCATGTGAACAAGGACATGTCCTCTCCTTGGTTAACCAGGTTAACTAACACATCTAGTGGCTAACAGTGCTCAGCCTTGGGGAATGAACACTGACGGATGGAGGCCAGACACAGGCCCTGAAAAGAGTCTTCTCTCATAGGGCACTGGGCTAAGTCCCTCACGCTCTTCACCGATATCTCGGGTTCATCCTCCTTCTGTCACACGCTAGCGTGCATTTCCCGGCCTCCCCGAGGTTGGGCAGGCCACGTCACTAGCTCTGGCCCCCGACTGCATGGAGTTAGCACTTCTCACTTCCGGTCGCAGCAGGTTAACTGCCAGTGTGAGTCCCCTCAGAGTTTTCTCTCCCTCTGACACAGGATGGCAGCATTCCCTACAATGGTGGCTTTTAGCCTACGTCCAGAGCAGAGTGGAGCCCCTAGCTCAGCCACAATGGACATGTAGTGTGACTGAGAAATAAACTTTTGTGGTTTTTAGCTACCAAGATTGCTTTTTCACTTTTGGGATCTTCATTTCTGTGGCATAACCTCGCCCCATCCTGACAGTTTCAGCACCAATGTCAGCCCTGCTTCCTAGACGCTAGGACTTTGCTAGGAGAGCATAGGAACGTAGACCTGACAGGTCCTGGAGCTCCACTTCCAAGAGTTCCTCACCTTGTGGCAGATGAGCATGGACCGGGCACCTCTAATGAGAAGTGCCCCAGTGAGAGACAGGGTAGAAACACACCACTTCTGACCAGAAGAAATCAAAGAAGGCTTCTGGGAGGAGGTGGCAATATAGTTGGCCTTGAAGGATGGGTTGGATTGGGGCATGAGGAAATGGCCAAAGGCATTCGGGAAGAGGGAACAGCAAGGGGAAAGGGCAGGAAATGCTGCAGAACAGACTGCACTGGAGTGAAAGGTCCGGAAAGATCAGAAATAAGAAATGAGGCTCAAAGGCTCAGGTTATGGAGATTCTTGGTGCTATCCCCTAGACACAGTGGGGAATATCAAGTTTAGAATCAGGGCGTGACATGCTCAGTGTCCTGCTTTGGCCTAGGCCCCTGGCAGCCAGAAAGGAGAGCAGGTGAAGGCAGGGAGACACAAAGGCATGGTTGTTAGCGGGATGCCACAATGGCCAGGGGGGGCTGATGGTGGCCGCAACCAACAAAGGAACAGGTAGCATAGGGAGTTCCAGGCTCATTCCCAAGGTTGGAAAGATAAGGCAACAGGACTTGAGCCAAACTTGGGGAAACAGACACAGGGGAAGTTCCCCACCTTGGACGTGAGCCTAGAAGTCAGGAAGGAGTTAGAGCTGGACCAGGAAGGACCGGCAGAGGAGAGGGAGATGGCAGAACTTCTTAAGAACTTCTAAGAACACACTGAACGTGGGAAGCGAGCAGGAAGGCACTCCGAAACAGACCAGGCGAGGCCTCGATGCCAGGTCGGGGCATGTGGACTTTATCTTACAGACTTAGGTTTGCAAACTTCTGGCCCATGGAATGACTCTGACCCACAGACATGTTTTGTTTGGAACATTTAGTTGCCAACATTTAAAGCCAAAGGAATTCACATGAAAATTCTCACTTCTGGCATGCGGTACGCCCAGAGAGCTGGCCACACTGAGCCTGTCTCCCCACCAATTACAGTTGGCAGCAGCTGAAGAGCGAGCCCCCTCTGCACGCGGGGTGTGGGCGCTCCAGCTGGACTCGGTCCCCACCACCTGCCTGCCTGGCTCATCCCTCCTTGTGCTAAATAAACATATCTGCGGGGCCTCGGAGAGCCTGGCAGGAACGCAGGCAGCCCGAGGGGTATCCCCTGGCTCAGGCTGGGAAGCGAGGGGAGTGACGATTTCTAAGAAGCTTGTTTCCACAGAGCTCCTCTGAGCCCGGCCCAGATCAGAAGAGGCAGGGGTAGAAGGTACCAGTCCGTCCCCCATCCGGTCCTGACTGAGCATCTGCTCTGAGCAGGACCTGCACTGGGAGCTGCCCCGGGAGCCTCCAGTCCAGCAGAGGAGGTGGAAATACCGACAGGCATTTGGGACACCAGGCAACGCAGGCTGCGCTAGACCCCCCTGGGGCATGGGAGCCCCGCGCATGAGGGACTCACTGGTCCGCAGAATGTTCCAGGCATTTGACTTAAAGTCTCAAAGGATGCGTGGTGTTTTGTCACGTCAGGTGGAGAGAGGAGAGCTCTGGACTAGAGCTGTGCTGGCAGAGAGAAGTCTAAGGAGACCAGTTCTTTCCTCGAGGGCAGAGGGCAGCCACCACAGGCTCTCGGCCAGGAGGGGCAGAGATCTGGGGCCTTCACTGCCCAGGACTCTGGGCCCAGCCCCAACCCCCTCAGGGCAAGCACTCACCGAGGGTCTGCTGGTTGCGGACGCCGCCGATCACCACGCAGATCTCGGCGGGAACGTCGCCGGTCCCATCCTTGCTGACCACCTTGCTCTCCTCCTTGGCCTCGCCCTGCCAGATCACCTCCTGGATGTAGTCGTCGGGCACCTCTGTCTTCACCTTCACCTCCGTCATCGTTCCCTGCTCGGCACTCAGCGAGGCCTCGGCCGGCACGGGCTCCGGCCCCTCCACCTTGGCGCTCTTCTGGCTGCGCTTCAAGCGCTCCCTGGGGAAGAAGAGAGTCTGTTCAGAGTGGACCCCATGCCCACCCCCAGGGCCACCTGGGGGCCCACCAGCCCAGGGGGCGGCACAATCTTTAGCTACAGACCCATCTGTCACGTGAACCTCTCCTTGAAGCACATGGCCATGGCTGCCCCTGAGGGTCCTTCGGGGAACCCTGGGGCTCCCAGGAACACAGTTTGAAAATACTGGGCTAGCCTGGCTCCACCACCACCCATTTTACAGATGGGGAAGCTGGGGTCTAAAGAGGTATACCTGTGCCCAGGAACTCCTGAAACTGGCTCTGGCTGATGGAAATAACTTCTCAAGCTTCACATAAATCAGCTGAGAATCTTGGCAAAACGCAGATTCCGGTTCAGCAGGTCAGGGTTTGGCCTGAGATTCTACGTTTCTAACCAGCGCCCCGACACTGGCGCTGCTAATTCTCCTTCCGCACAAGGAGTGGCAAGCGTGTACGTGGTTCGATGTGCGAAGTGTCTGGTGCTGTTCTCTGCGCTCCTTGGCAGGAGGCCTAGAGACCTCATCCAAGCTCTTCCCTCTCCAGTGTCACAGACGGAGAAACTAGAAGCCAGCGAGGCTCACTCGGTTGAGATGTCCTGGAGCCAACACTTGGCGCCCAACACACTGGCCTCTAAGTGGCTCTTCAAATATCAGAAAACATCCTCCAGGTAAGAGCTCAGTACTGAGGCGGGCAGGCCAGGTGGACACGGGGGCCTGGAGCAGAGCTGTGACTGGCCCTGGGCCACACACAAGACTGGTGGCAGGTCACGGCATGAAGCGCGGTCCCTGCTATTCACTCCTGAACGGTGTTATCATAAGGACTCGCTCATGCTCCTGGCAGGAGACTGTCACCACTGCTCCTGCTTCTGAGGTGGGGAAGCCAAGATGTGCACAAACTGGGAAATCGAGTCAGATTCCAGGCCCGGGGCTGCTGCCCTGGCCACAGCCAGCCTCCTCCACTGCTCCAGAGAAGCGTCTGCAGGGCGATCTTCAAGGCCCAGACTCCAGGCCCGCTCGGGCAAGACCCACTGGCATACCAACAGGGAAGCAGGGACCCAGGTTCTGATCCAGGACCCACAGTGGACTTGCTGTGTGACTTTGGACAAGACCCTTCTCCTCTCTGGGCTCCAGCTTCACCTATCACAACAGCATGGGTTTTATCACATCTCTGTCCCTCCCAGCTCTGTCCAGGGTGAAGAAAGTGAGGGGAGAGAGAGAGAGAGAGAGAGAGAGAGAGAGAGAGAGAGAGAGAGAGAGAGAGAGAAAGAGAGAGAGAGAGAGGGAGGGAGAGAGAGAGAGAGAGAGAGAGAGAGAGAGAGAGAGAGAGAGCCCCTAACTAACATGGGGGCAGAGAAAGGCCACTGAAGGTGCTATACACTAAATTGTGTCCTCAACACCCCAAATCACATGGTGAAGTCCTAATCCCCAGTGTGACTGTATCTGGAGAGAGGATCTCAACAAGGTAATTAAGGTTAAATAAGGCCAGAAGGGTGAGGCCCTATGACAGGACTGTGGCCTCAGGAGAGAGACAGAGGGACTCCTCTTTCTCTGACTCTGTCCCCACTGTGTGAGGACACAGAGAAGGTGGAAGCTAGGAAGAGGGTCCTCACCAGCTCCCAACCCTGCTGGGCCCCGATCTCAGACTTCCAGCCTCCAGAACTGGGAGAAGGTGTCCAGCCTATGGTACTTCGTTATGGCAGCCTAAGTTGACTAATACAGGAGGCCAGGACTCAGACGAACCGGATAGGAATGAAAAGGTAGGCAGAAGGGACACCAGCCACTGGCAAGAGCTATGGAGTCCGTCACTTCCGGTGTGACGTGAGCCAGCTACCGAACCTCTGAGTTTCAGCTTCACATCTGCAAAATAGAGCTAACGTGGTTCTCACATGGGTTTTAATCAACCAAGGCTTGAAAAACACGAGCACAGTGCCTGGCCTGCAACCACTCTCAAGACATGGCCACCATTACTATTATTAATAATGGCAAACTGTTAGCACATCTTCGGCACCCGGTGGGCCCAGTGACGCCTCCTCATGTGCCTGGTACATCACGGCCAGACACTGCCTGACCTCATGCCCTTCTCCTCGGTGGGAAATGTAAAACTGGATGATTCAATCCTCTCAGCATTCATTTCCTTTATTGATTTAAGAAACATTTCAATAAAGTGTCCTATCTACCAGGCACTGTTCTAACACACGGACTCCTCTTACCCTCAGTAACAGCCTGTGAGGTCAGTCCTGGTATTATCTCCATTTTACAGATGAGGAAACTGAGGCACAAGGTGAAATAACTTGTCCAAAGTCGCATGGGCACAAAGAAGCGGAACCAAGAATTGATGCAGGCATCCTGGCTCTCGCTGCAACATGCTTAGACTGGGAGAGAAACCGCCAGAGGGAGCCTGCCCCCCGCACCGTGGCAGCCCCCACGTCACCATTCTTGCCCTTCAGCATCCGAACAGAGTCAGGCCAAGGTGCTAGTGAGTGAGCAGGAAGGCGGGAGGCTCCTGGCTTTTTGGCTGCTGCTGCCTTCCCAGAAATCTTGAGCTACAGTCCCTCTGGTGAGGTCCAGAGCCCCCCTTGGGAGGGCATCACGCCTATTCCATCCCCCCGCAAAAAGCCTGAGTTCAGGGAGTCCCAGGAGCATAACCAGGACCAACAGGTCTGAGAAGTTACAAGGACAGCTATGGTCTAGGAGGGAGAATATTCCTGCCAGCTAGCCAGCCAAACGAGGGGCATGCTTAGGGTGGGGAGCTCCCTGGCCCTGAGGCACTGGAGCAGAAGCTAGCTCAAGGCCTGGCAGGATGGGATGTGATGACCTGAGATGGAAAGAGCATCAGGGTTTGAAGTCGAATCAGCTGGGGGCCAAATTTCGGCACTGCCCCTCCCAAGCAGTGGGTTTCTGCATGAGTGACTTCACATACACTCATCCCCACCCCAAGCCTCAGTCTTCACATCCATACAATGGGTAAACACAGCACACACCCCTCAGCACTGTGATGCAGAGAGGACAAGGCACTATCTGCATGGGCCTGGGACAGTGCCCCAGGGGAGATGTTCTATGGGTACCTACTGTCTTGGGGGAGGGGAGTGTGCACAGGATGCGGGGAAGGGTCTTACATGGCATAGACTGTAGTGCAGGGGCTGGAGAGGTAGACAGACAGGAGTTCAAATCCCAACTCTATCGCTGCCTGCCTGGTGACGCTGAGCGAGCCCCCGACCCTCTCTGAGCCTGTTTGCATATCCATGAAGCGGAGTCCCCACACCTACTCAAAAGGCCTTGTGAGGATCAACTGCAAAAATGTAAATCCAGGACCTTGTCTAAATCAACTCATAGAGATGATCATGCTGGTGGGAACTGGTGAAAGAAGTGGCTGAAATCCCCATTCCCTAGCTAAGACCACGTGGGCGCTCATGGTCAGCCAATCGTGCCTGCTCTGAGGTTGGAAGCCAGGGTCTGTCTGACCTTAATGCCAATCCAGCAAGAAGACAGCCCACAGGTCAGGGGGTGGGTGGGGGTGCTGGGCAGGCAGCTGAGGACTCTCCCTGGCTTGGCCCTCGCTGGTCCCAACCCTGGCCGCCCTGAGCACAGCTTCCCAAGACCAGCAAAGAGGCCCACTGGAGCGGGTGTCCAACCTGCCAGTGTTCCCCACAGCGGAGGTTATGGGAAGGGCAGGGCAGGGAAGGGCAGGGCACACACTGGGCCCCCTTACCTCAGCCCTTCCTTCACTGGCCGTGTTCGGAAGCTCAGCCTGAGTCCTGTGAGCACTTGATCGTGCTATCTGAACGGACTCAGTGTCCCTTTCTGCTCTCCAGGACCTCACTAGCATCATGACGTCCTGCTGAGAGGGAGGAGCTGTTGGGAGTCAGAAAGGCCGGGCATCCATTCACCCAGTGACCTGGGGCAAAGGGTTCCCTTCTCTGGGCCTCAGTTTCCTTCTCTATTAAAGGGGGACCACAATCCTTGCCAGGACGGGGGCAGATGAGCCAGGAGCCGGCAGAGAGGTTTCCATGGATGGCAGCTGTCATTACGAGGATGACATCCCCACCTCCGGGAGCCTGCCCTGCTCACTGGAGATGCAGTTAGAACCTCTCTCTGAATGTCCCCTCCGCCCTGCACAGGCGATTCCTGCACTTTACACTGGGAGCCATGTGAGCCATCCTCTCACCCACAGGCACCGTGGCACACAACATACGCTCCCTTACATGTGACACCCCTGAGGCCTTGCTGTGCGGAGGACACGGCTTCATGCTTCAGATTTACAAGCCCAAATGTTGCTTTTCTCGGCTGCTTTGCATTTAATTAGGCGTCCTCGTAACAACGGAATCGCAGGAGTACTTACATCACTTTGAATTAGTGGCGCAGCTCCTTCCAACTTCTGCAAAAATTTTTTTTTCTCATCTATCATTTTTTAAAATAGAGCTCATTATTTTAATTATATCCATTTAAATGTACAGTGGAGCCCTTGGATATTCTCAGCACGAATCATTAGGTATATTAGTGAAAAGCACTCGGAATCCATCTACACGCTGACACTCCACAATCTATTCTATTTGTGTCTCTGTAAAACAGATTTATATATAGATAACTACAAAATAGTTGCTCAAGATATGCCATGAATTTTATATTTAGCCCGAGTCACACTTCAACATAGAATCTAAAGCCGGGCACCGAGAGGCTATTTCTCAGCAAGTACATAGCGTCTGCGGTCGCTGGCTACTCCTCATGCCAGAATGCTGGGACAGAAGCCAGACCAAGCGGGTTCTTGCCCAAGGAATTCCCTAAGAGCCCTCGCCTTTCACTAAGGTGATGGTTCTCAAAGTGTGTTCCTTAAAGGCCTAGGGGTTCCATAGCAGTGGCCCCCAAAGCACTCATGAAGTCTGAATGAGGAGGGTGGTATTAAACGGGGCTCCAAGACCCCCCTCTCTCTGATATGCATAGCTTGGTCTAATGTATACATATTTGGCTTCTTTCTCCCTGTAGAGGGGT